AAAATATGATCAGAAACTCACTGAGAAGAGAAATGATCAAGAGTATATAAGAAGATGAAGAGAGTGTATGAGAAGATGAAGAAGATATGTTATTCATGATAGTATATTCTGACAATCATTAGAAGATAAACAAGTTCTGATTATATATGTTTCACAATGTGTTACACTTACTGCTAATAAACTGCCTGATATGAGCACTATGATGATACTTGTTGTGAGAATAAGAGATCATTGTCAGAAATATGTATAATGTGATAGATGAACAGATGAAAAGAGTTGAACAGAAGAAGAGATAGAAATCTTGAATGAGATAGTAATGTTTGATAATGATGATGATGAAGAAGATGATTGAAGAATGAGAAAAGTTAGTAAATGAGTGATGTAATATAGTGAAAGTTTCTTTGTGAGAGTGTACACAGAATGCTAGCTGAATCAGGAATAGGTCATACAATTGTGAAACACTAGTGGCAAGCTAATCCGCATGAAGCTAGAGTGTATAATATGATCACATGAGTGTGACTGAATCTGGTGAGAAAGAATGTGGTTCAGAAGAACATATGACTGTTGAATAATAATGCAGCTGCTTCTGAACTACTAGCATACATGTACAAGTGTAAAGGGGCCCTAGCGGCCGCTAATTAATTTAGCATATAATATTACAATATATAAGAAGCCGGCGTACGCCTGTAATCGTACGCTGGCTTAAGCAACCTTTGAATCACAAGTCACTGAGACTATGAATTTCACATTTGATCTCATTTGATCTGATCTCATACATTTCTTGACATGAATCCTGCTGGGACTAATCATTAAATAAACATGCAAAGTGACTATATATCAGATCTCAAAATGAAATCATGACTTGAAAAAAATGAGAAAGTGGTTTCATTTAGTCTCATTTAGTCTCATTCTTGACATAAAGTTACTATTTTTAGATGTTTTAAGGTTTTTTTTAGACTATTTTTAATTTTTTAAAAAGTAATGCTTTTTAATAACACTCAGATGAGATTTAAAGTCATTTAAAGTAATAAAAATAATTTAAATTGAGAAGTGAAAATCATGATCTCATTTGAAAAATGTGATAAGAGTAGATAGTAAGTCTCATTGAAACAGTATGAGACTACTATCTAGTGTTAGAACCATGTAATGAAATCTGTTGAATTGATAATAAAACTATCAAAAATTCTGATTCTGATCTCAGACACAGTCACACAGTCAGTCTATCTGAGTTAGACTAGTTTCTGAAATATTAAGAGAAATAACCACAGCAGCAGTAGTCACAGCAGTTATGAAATTATTATACTCAATTGTCTCATCTTGTACAGTCTTCTTAAAGTTCATATTATCATAGACTATAATAGCTTGAGAATCTTTAACAAGCTACTGAAGTTTAATCTAACAGTAAGAATTAGTCAAGTGATTAACTCAGAAGTTAATAGAAGTTCAAAGAATATGTCAGAAAATGATAGATATTATCAGAGATTACTAGAAGTTTAAGATATTAAATAGAAATATTAATAAGTTAAGAATATTAAGTTATATCTTCTCTTATTTAATAATTTTTATTATCAATCTATTTCTTATCACATAGCTGTGACAGAGTTCAAAGTCAGAAATAATTTCTATTATTTATTATTTTACTTCTGAGTTATAAAAATATATAGAGAGAATAGAGCTGAAGAAGTTTAAGTTTTTTAAGAAATAAGAGTAATATATAATACTTATAATAATAAACAGCTGTTTAATAGCTGTTATTTCATCTGAGTCTCATTCATAGCTCTTTTAATTAATGTATTTATTTTTTAGAACAGAAGTAAGTAGATTAAATCAGATTAATATATCAGTCTAAATAATCTTAAAAATAGTCTGAAAGTTAATAATATTCAGATCAGAATTATAATTGAATTTTATAAAGAAAAAAGTATTAATAAGATATTTCAGCTTCTATTTAAGTAAGATAGTATAATATTAATTATCATTGAATATTTCTGCTTTGAAAAGTACTGAATATAGTATATTTCACTACTTTATAGAAGTACTGTATTATTAATAAGTTAAGATATCAGAACTCTGAATTCAAGTCTCTATAAAGATTTTCATTTCTTAACTATTTTACTGTAATATTCTGATAATATGAGATAATTTCAACTGTCTTTTCTACTGATTATAAGATATTGTAGACAGATACTATGAGTTATAGTAGTTTAATTATAAATAAACTTATAAGATATCAGTATCAGTATCAGTGATCTTGAATTCTGAAGAAATATTAATAGATTCAAGCTCTGTTAAGTTACTATTTAATATATTATATTCATCATCTATATTATTAAGAGACTGTATTAATTATAAAGAGAATTCATCTTTAAGTAATAAAGAATATTGACTGAAGTATATCTGATATTAAATATCTTGAGATTTAAAAGACATGCTGTCTTTTATCAATAATTATAATATAATAAGAAGAGATAGTAAGTTGTAAAATAGTAGAGATAATAGTAGAATAACTGAGAATTTAAAAAATATCAGTTTGATAATGATTAGACAGATATTTAAAGTAGATGTATAATTTCAAAGTTAATTAAATATTTTATATAAGTGAAGTTGATTTTTTATATATAATGAAATCATTTCTTCTCAGACTCTCTATAAGATATTAGATTGTGAGCATGTGTGAAGTCTCTTATTGATTCAGAAGTTAGCAGGACTTGACAGAAGTCTAAAGGAGTTTAGTTAGTCACGCTAATTTGAAAATATCGAGAAGAGAGGCTGAGCATGCTGAGATAACATCTCTATTTAGACTTCAGCGATCTCCCTCGGGCGAGATATCAGCAACTAAATGTCCTTAATCCACCACTATCATGCGGCATTTCCACTTGGATGGAGTACCTCCTGGCTAACTGGTCACAATGCTCCTGGATCTGCCGCCGGAGATTTTTAATCAGATCATCAGCGAGGTATAACTACTACCGGCAGAAAGGGGTAATTGAGTACAGAGCATAATTTCGTAGATAAACCATCTTCGTACCCTGAAAAATCTGCCTCAAGTTTCAAAAGCACTGCACAGATATTTGCTTGCTTACTTATATCGTGATTTCAAAATCTCCATTAAGGACAATGATCTCACTCAATTCCACATATCGCCCTCGTGAAAGAAATGGAACTAGGGACATTGTGAACTGCCTTAGCTTCGTACAGAATATAGAACTTAGTTCAGCTGTTTGTTTATCGAGACATATCTGTGTTGAGAAGCTCTTACCGCACTTTCGGGCTCAGGGAGTGTCATGCAACCAGATAACAGCCGAAGAACATGACAATACTGTAGAATTAATCGGGAAGAAAGTGTCATCTGTATTTCTTTATATCCCAAAAGACTCTCTACAAAGCTTCAGGTACGTCCTCAATGGAGTAAAAACATTTGGTATTCATGCGAATTCTGAAAGCCTGTAACTGGAAGCTGAGACTCTGTGAACCTTCTGAACTCCTAGGATCCTCTGGTTATCTCTCACAGTACTAGAGACGTATCATGTCACTCTCACTATATGATGATCCGTTTTGTAACCACTTCCCTAATTCTCTGTCCTTTAAGCACTTCAGACTTCTTCGCCACCTCTACTGGAAAGGGCGGGTTTGGGTATACCATTATCAACCACTATTAGCTGCGAATTCCCGTAGTCTAGAGTCACTAGAGTTGGTATTTCTCAGGCCATATCAATCTTGATATTTCTTGATATAAAATTACTATTTTTAGATATTTTTAAGCTTATTTTAGTATGATTTTTAATTTTTTAAAAAAGTAATGCTTTTTGATAATACTCAAATAATATTTTAAATCATTTAAAATAATAAGAAGATCTCTTATTCATTTTCCAATGAAGATTTTCAACAGAAGAATCTCATTCTTGATGTCTAACTGTCTTAAGATATTTGATCCTCAACTGATAATACTCTGTGAGATTGCTGTTTCTTTGTACTAACTTGGCCATCTCAGGCTTGCAAGAGATCTTCTTCTCAGTGCGCTTCTTCAGAAACTGGTCTCTAAAGACTTCAAGAAAGATAGTCTAATGATCTTCTATTGAGTTTTCAAGAATGTGCATCAAACTGAATCTAGCTAAGAGAACTTGAAAACAGATTTGTGAAATCTATAATTCTCAGTCCGAACAACTCAAGAATAAGAACAGAGATGTTGTATTATTAGATATCAGTTGTAGTGTAACTATAACTGAGGCTAGAACTGAGACTAAATGTGACTTTTAACTGTGAAAAAGTTAGTTCTGGTTTCAAGTATATCAGGAATAGTAATTTCATATTAGTTTCAGTTCTGATTCTATCTAGTCATAGTTGTATTTAGTTATTAAATGAGACTATATAATATAATCACTTTTCTCAACAAGACCAGGACAAGAAGCTTATTGAAGTCTCTAATGAATTGTTCACTCTTGCTGCAGTCTACTACAAAATCCTCAATATTGACAAAGTAGAGCTGAAGCTGAGAAAGACAAGTAAGTAAGAGAGAAGGAGAAGAAGATTGTCTGACTCTGCAAGTGTTTTGAGCAGACCCTTGATGCAATCATGCAAATCACTTCTCAGAATTCAAGACAGCTTATGCCAAGCAGATCCAAGGGATTGAGAAGGAGCCAGAATAGGAGATGGGAGATCCCAGGAGGACTCCTTAATAATTATAAGGAAGTACTCTGTAGTTAAACCAGAAAACAACAGGATGAGAAGGAGATGTCACGTAAACCTTACACAGGAAAATGGTCCCTCCCCTCTCTGCATTGATTGTGGAAAAATTGGTCATATAAGCAAGGTCTGTACCGGCCCTGCATTGGAAGCTTGGGACAAGGCTATTCTCAAGGATAAGGTCTTTGTCCTCCTTCTTCAGCACCGTCGGTAGAAGGGATCTTACTTCGATTACGTAGGATGTCGAGTGCGTTGCTACTGGAAGGAAGGTTTGGGCTAGGCTGCGATATCCGATTTCCCAACGCTTGCAACGACAGCTAAAGCACACTGGCCTTTTGGAACTACAAGTAATCAAACCTCATCCAGCCCAGGGGGTCTAAGGCCTCCTCTAATGTACTAGAGGACAAATTGCAGGAAGCAGAACACCTATTTACGGCTATCCTGCTTGAGAACTTTAAGGAAAAAGTTGATGAGCTCATGAACATGGCTTAAGAGGACTTGGAAACAGAGTTGTGAAATCTATGATCCTCAGCCCGAAGGACCCAAGGACAAGGATGAAGACATTGTATTAGATGTTGGGGTCCCAGATCCTTTTGTTTTAGCAGAAACAACACTTACAGAGGCAGAACTGCATAGGATTAAGAGGATCATTGTTGATGACTTGGTCCAGCTCAACCCTTCGGTTCCGCGAGCTGGCTTTAACACCTAGTTATATCTAATCCTTGCGCCAATAAGAGTCTTCCAACCCACTTTTTATGCTTGCTGTATTTAAGTGTCTGAGGACTTCTGGGGCAAGGACTCCACCTGTAGGGGCATGAAGCTTCTTCTCAAGATCCCTAACCATCTCCTGCAAGGACTCGTCTGACTCCACCACCCTCCTTCTTCTGAGATTGGGTTGACGGATTGACAGATCCTTCTCTGTCTAAAGGTTTTCATCGGTTCTACGGGATGTAATTAGGCCCTATCTGTGTTGGAGGGCCTCTTTACCACCATGGCGCTGGTGGTGATTAAGCTCTTTTGGCCCAGTGGCCTAACAATCTGCAAGGTCCGGACTTTTCTGTAGACACAAGGATTCGATTATAAGCCAGTGGCCACAAAGATTGCAAATATCTCAAAAGGGTTCCAATATAGAAAACTTGAAGGATTGTCAATAAACATTACCTACACAACAGGAGCCGCCAGTATTTGTATGTATAACTGGAGAGTCAATAGAACCGTAATACGTCATTGTCATTGATCGCACGGATCAAGAAAGGTATTACTCCGTCCTCCGTCTGAGAACGGCTGCAACTACTGATATATCCCGGTTGTGTCCTTGAACCCCCTGAATGCGACCGATGTCTTGATGGGCCTGTTCAGATCATTCTGAGCGCCAGTCGAAGAACCTGTTGGTAAGAGGACTTTTCCGCCCGCGACTTTACCTAAATTGAACTTGTCCATGGTGTCTTCCTGCTCGTTGAGGGTCATGCTGGTGTATATTGTGGCATATTTCAGCCATGCGCGGCACTGAACCATGATTCTCAAGGTCTCCTCCCTGTCCAAAACCACTTCGGAAATCTTTCGACAAAGGTACTGTAATTTCGGGGAGTCGAGAGTGAGAAAGAAAGCAGGCAAAAAACTGTTCTGGGGGATGATTACATTGCAATCTTAGGGTCAGAAAAAAAAAAGGGGCATCACAATTGTTGCACCTCCCTGCTCATTTCTGAACATCTGGTGCATGATTTTTTCTCAGGTCGCATCCGTGAGAACAATTCCAACCTGGGACTTGTTGCTACATGGCTAACCTGTCTATACGCCCGGAAATTAATTCTTTCCTTGCCTGCCGCCCTATCAGGAAGATCGTCTGACAATTGTGCTGGGGCCTCTGAACCACCCGAACTTACCTACTGCTTGATCAACGGGAAGTACATCGTGTTATGCTGTGCCTGGGTTGCCTGGTTGAATTTTAACTCGACAACCGCAATGCACTGGTAAAAGAACGATGCCTCGAGGAATCCTAAGGTTGAATTGCGCTTGCTTCACCGAGGTAGACAACCACACCGAGCCGTCAAAATGTTCAAAAAGTGTTTGCTGATATATCCAGTGGGGGTTTTCCGGCGGTAACTATTTTCATATGTTAAGGGTTTCCTCGGCCCAGTTATTGATTCTCTAATATAAAACCTTCCCCCACAAATTGTTTATAGTACCACAAGCCCAAACCCACAGAATGCCATTAAAGTTGGGTTCGGTGGGAATACATAAGGCAATGATAAATACCCGCAGGTGATAGACATCAAACTAAGCCATCGCAGCCCTTCCTCGGGACTCCGTTAGGCGTGAAAAGAAAATCGGGCATCAAGTTCGAGAAGGTTGCGAAAAGGAACCATTTGCGCCCAGGATTTTGCTGACCGTGTAATGTCAAGCGTCGTGAACAACGCATATAGTGAACATGGCTGCAGGAGGGCCAGGAGTATCAGCCGCTAGGCCGAAAAGAACAAGTCGAAACATGCCGGCGGTCAAGGAGTTATCGAATTTCACCCACATTATAGAAATTCGAATATCATCTAGTGGTGCCCATCCAGGTCTGTGCGTCGCAATGCGTCGGTACAATTCCCTTCCCTAGTCTCCGACATCTGTTCGAGCTGGCCGTGAGTGAGGTCAAACTGTCCTCTAACCGGCTCAATAAGGGGATAGTGGCTGCACAGTTCATGATATTCGAAGTCTTTCGAGGGCCATGGGCAACACTCGCTCATATGATAATCTTTCTCCCGAAAATACAATGCCCAGAATAGGAATGTCAATGCAGCCTCAATGGCTATGATAAATAGTCGTATGTATTGTAAAATTTTCTAAGACGGTCTCCAATATCCGTGGAATCGATATAGGACCAAAAATCGAGGACGGCGGTGAAATGAAGCTAATCGGCCATAAACGCCTGGATTGCCGGTTGGGGGTCTGTTTGAGATAGATGGCCGGGACAAGAACCGGATTTCTAGATGCTGTGGTGAGCTTGCGACGCAACTCAACTCTAGCACATCATCACCAGGGAGATTCTCTGAATCGTCAAACAGCTGCTGCTGCTAAACATTAGAGGTTAGCAATACGTCGCCGCCATCACCCAACAGCGGATGGGAAATAGTCAAGGGGTCAGACTTAGGGGTCAGGGGCAGAGAATCAATAACTCGAGTGGGTCAGCTCTGAACAGCATCAGTGATTTCAGGGTTAAAATTAATCATTAGAAGATCCCCTGATTGCAAACGAGCTTCAGTGTGACCGGGGGCGCTCACAAAAAACTATAAACCGACGGTTATCCGCTCCGGGGTCGGTCAACATACGAAGTCGGGTGCGTAGGTGGATGTGATGGCTTGTTGATATATTAGCCATATACGAACAGGGGCGGTTTCTGCAAGCCACCACAAAAGATGAGGGCTCGCTGAGGCGAACACCAGTCATTCTAATGAGGACAGACTGGATAGATCTAATTAAATGGAAAGGGATTGAAACAACCCATGGATTTATTTCCTTCAACAGCTATAATGATAACAAGCTTCTGAACGGATATCACGTAACAGACCGAGACCCGTGCTTGTAACTTAACATAGGTGCAAAAGAACCGACAGCAAGCAATGTAGCGTGGCAGGAACGCGAAGTTCCTGCCACGCCATGGGAACCTCGACAGATTCGCGGCCATACAATGCAAGTAGGCCTCTCTCGATTTCTTAACGATAGTCGGTCGCTATTACAAACAGCGCAGAGAGCAGTGAAACACGGTTCAACTCGATGTTCCAGTGCCCGGGGTCAGGTAGAATAACTCTCTGATGCTGATTTGGTCTAGCCGCCCTGACAGGATAAAAGCAAAACCAACTTGTCGCTGGACGGTGCGGAGGCGAGGTGGCAAGTAAACCTGTCATGTTGATTTAGATCATCTCTTCTGATTCGGTGCACCATTTCGTTGCTCGTCTATTTGGTCAGCCAGAACGACAGGGCCTTGATCCATGTTTCTAATTCAAAGAGACGTGCGGATTATCAAATTGATAAAAGAGATTTTTTGATGACCTCGAAAACTCTGTTGTTATTGTTGTGATTCTTAAAATTGATAACGCGTTCTGCATTAAACTGATGCGGTTGTTTGCGAGTTATTCATTCAGAAGCATTCCAACATCGGATTGACTTGGGGTATGTTTGCCCGCGTGAAGATACCTTCTGTCGTAACTCACCGGAGCGCCCCTGAAATGCTGGAGTAGGTAGCTGCGCAATTATTCGCCTGCAGTAACTGCTAGCATAAAAAAGTTGCCGGTACGTAAATTGCCATTCGGCATCATATAAGGTTATGGTATCTTTCATATGTGTCACGGCGAGATTTAGAAACTTCCCCAAGGTCTGCAGAGTGTATAATAAGCAAGTGTTCCAAAGCTGAGGGTAATTTTCCCAGTGTGTTTCACACTCCAGTCCCAAACCAATATAGGTAACTGAGGTCTGTTTGTAGGCACTCGGCAGCCCCTAATGATCCGAGTGAATCCCTCTCTGAAGCTTGCAAACCCGTTTATTTAATCTCGATAGATAGTAGTCGCAGAAAACGAAGCAGAATAGACCCCGTTAAAATGTCTCGAGCAAAAGGGTTGGTAGGACTTTCGCATCCCCTTAGTTGTAGCCATCGTATGTACACTGATCCCAGGCATTTCAGTTCCAACCTCAATTACAGATTAAGGCTGCCCGGAAAGTCCCTTTATTCCTAGCTTTAACGAGTCGACCAACACCCGCTAGTAAACCTCCGGAAGTAAACAGAGATGGGGGCGCTCTGTAGGCTATCCCGCCCCAATCGGAATCCGTATACCCAATCGGAATCCGTATAGCCAATCAGGAAGTATGTAGCGGTCTGATTCATCGGTTCTTTCGTATAAGAATGCCGAGCGCCTTTGTTCCTTTGGGATATCGTATGACATGGATATGGCCCATGGGGTCGTCGGTCGCTCACGCTCGCCAGATTCCTTGTTGCTTGTACGATTGGTGAGCCGCTTCATCAAACCGTCCACGTCGATATTAGATTAGATATTAGAAAATGGGGTCTTGGCCCGTGACGAAGAGTTCGTCTAGACAAGTCTTCACGAATACCTTCTTGGTATTCTCGTAGGCTGATTAGGGACATGGCATGACGGATATCCTCTGCACTTACGCCTAGTTCCTTGTGTCTGGCGACTAGATATCAGAAACTAGCGTCGTTGAGAAGCGAGATAGGCGTTAACTATACGTGCAGACTAGCAAGTTCCTTTTGAGGATAATATGTAGTGCTCTGTGGTCTGTGACGATAGTAAAGTACCGCCGTTAGTGATAACAGAATAAGTAATAATAATAATCGACTTCCCAAGCCCAAGGGAATCTGTAATCGTAATAGTATCCACGCACAACATGGAACGAGTATATCTCCCGTATTAGCACAAACTCGATATAGGCAGTAGGATAGATATAGATATGGTACATAGATATACGCCGTAGAGCCCCAGCAGGGGCCAAAGGAGCTTGTTAGGCACCTTGGTAATGGAACGGTAGGTATAGTTAGTCCGACGGAGAAATACAAAATAAAGAGGGAGGAAGGGGGGAGGGAGGAGGAATCGTCCCCATATATATAGAGTACAAGAAGGCCGAGAAGGGTCCATCCAGCAGGTGCCATTCATTCATTCATTCATTCATACCCACCACAATCGTGGATCGTGAACCGTGAACCGTTGGCCGTAGCTCATAGTCGCAAAACGTCGAGGGAATGTCCGGGTTGGTGAATCTTCCCTCTGCCCTATCCCCAATTCCCTCGTCCTCACTTCTCGCCCGCTGTCTTTTTCGCCCCGGGGGGAGGGGTGTCCGGTTGTAAATTAACCAGAGAGTCCTCAACTCTCAACTCTCAGTCCTCCCTAGAAGTGGAAAAGATAAAAAAAAAACTATTAACCCAGCATGGCATGACAATGGAATGCAAAAAGCCACGCATCCATTCAACGCATAGATTAGTCCCTCTCTTCCCTTCCCTTCCCTTCCCTTCCCTTCCCTCCCTTGACGCCTCCATCCCATCCCCCCCCTTCCCTCCCCCATATTCACTATTCACAACCATAGACGGATAGCTCAACGTGCATAGCATAGCGTGCCAGAACCAATCCCATAAGAATGGCGCCATTCATTTCATTTCATTTCAATTCATTTCATCTCCCTTGAATTTGAACCCCGGAAGAAGGCGGACGTCACTATTTCATATGTTCTCCGCGTGCGAAAACAGCAGCAGCAGCAGCAGCAGCAGCATGGCGTGTCACTGCTGCTGGCTTCAAATGTTATAAAAGACGCGCCCATCATCCATTTTTGGCGACAAGGGAGGAAATGAGTGAACATATTCGTTCCTCTTAGAATAGTGGCGATGGTTGCTGGTGATGGTTGCAGCTTTCAAGTCCGTGAAGGGAATAATAGAATGAAGTAAGATAAGTTATGAAAAAAATAAAAGGGAATACGTTATTCCAGGACCACGACGTAAGAATTGGATCAGATTCATCTGGCCAGATCATGATTTGATCGATCTCTTGACCTGGAAAACAATGTTTCAAATAATGATTAAAAAAAATGTTTAAGCTATGTAAAATACATACATGGATAAAGAAAGGAAAAGAAACGCAAAATGAAGGGGGAAAATATATTTCAGATACAGGTCTCCGTCCAATACAAAATATCAAACAGGGAACAAAAAAAAAAAAAAAAAAAAAAAAAAAAAAAAAAAAAAAAAAAAAAAAAAAGAGCAATGAAGAACAAAGAAAGGCATCACATCGCAAATTGTAGTAAAACAGCAGGGGAAGAAAAGAGGAGAAAGTGAAATTCGACATCCGAAATCGAAAAAAAAAAAAAAAAAAAAAACCAAACTCGTCGTCGTCTGATTGATTGATCCTTGCCGTCCTATCCTTGGTTTCTCGCAAAAGGTAACGTAGGCTGTCTGGGAAATCGATCCGTCCATTCGCCGTTAGAATGAGGATATAAAGGTACATGTAAAGAAAGCCCAAGGGAGTTAAGAAAGGGCGTAAATAAAAATAAACAGGA